AAGACCATATTTTCCAACTAATATTCCTTCTTCTTTGTTTCTATTTTTTTCTCAATTGCCAGTAATTATTGATGCATCTTTGATTCAATTTCAGACTGAACATGGTAAAATTCTTCAGTTTCTGCATAACTAACTTTAGTGTTTGGAGCATAAATTTGAATTTCAGTTGTATTAGTTGGATTTCCTTGTATGTGGGTAGACATAATTCTATCATAGACAGCAGTGTACTTCAAGATAGTCCTTGAAATGTCCTTTTTGATGATAACACCATTCCTCTTGATTGTCATTTCTGGCACAGCAAACCTAGGATTTTCTGGTTCAAAATGGCCATTACCAGTCCATTTCTGCTCGGTAACATCTAGAATACTGGTCTTTATGCGTTTGGTTTTGTTTTTTACAACTTTCAATTTTCCTAGATTCATAATTCATACATTCCAAGTTCATTATTAACGGATGTTTGCAGCTATTTCTTTCATCTGAGCCGTGCTCCATCAGCAAATGAAGGTCCAAGAGGCTTTGCTGTCACGCTTTCCTCCGTCCTTGTCACTACAGTTGGCTCTAGGTGGAGAAGACAGCTCTGTCAGCCGTATTCTGAGGACCTTCTGACCCGAGGGGCTCATCGTCTGACAGTCTCTCTGACACTGACCTGCTCTATCCTTTAGGTTCTCAGTCCGTGATCATGTTCTGATGCTGTCCATAGGGTTTTTCTGTTAATCATTTTATTGGGAACTAATACATAAACATCAGTAGCTAACCTGTAGCTGATTTCTCTGAAGTGGGCAGCGTGTTCCTTCGTATTCTGTTCTGACTCTGGAAGCGCTGCGGAAACCTGTCCACTTATGGGTGACCCTGCTGGTAGTTGAAACACCAGTGACATAACTTTCAGCATCATAGTAACACACAAGACACCACAGTACAATAAATGGGCAGACAACCTTGATTATATCCTCTGAATTTTGGAACGCACGGAATGTTAATGTCAGAAGGCCTCGAGAACTGTAGGAGGAGATCAAGAACATCATACATGAAGAAAACAAAAGGCCACTAAAGAAAAGGCAGAAAGAAATGATCAAAGTGGATATCAGAGAAACTCACATTTGCTCTTGCAGCTAGACTAGCTAAGGTGCACAGGGGAAATGATGAAGTAAAGGGGCTGAATAGAAAATCTCAAAAGGCAGCTCGAGAGGACTAAGCATTATACTGAAACGTGTAGAGACCTAGAGTTGGAGAGCCAAACGGGAAGAATATGCTCAGCATATCTCAAGCTGAATTAGTTGAAGAAAAAACTCAGCCCTTGAGTTTTAATATTGAAGGATTCAGTAGGCAAAATATCAAATGATATATGGAGCATCAAAAGAAGATAGAATATATACTGTACCAAAAATAACTGATTGACATTCAACTATGTCAAGGTAACACATGAACAAAACCTGATGGCAATGAAGAAGTCTAAGTTACACTGAAAGCATTAGCCAAAAACAAGGCTCCAGGAATTGATGGAATACCAATTGAAATACCAACTGCAACCAACTGACGAAGCACTGGAAGCACTTACTGGTCTATGCCAGAAAATTTGGGAGAGAGCTACCTGGTCAAGCAAATGGAAGAGATCTTATTTGTGCCCATTCCAAAGAAAGGTAACCCAAATGAAGGTGGACACAGAACCTATCACTACTGTCGCATGCCAGTCAAATCTGGAGGAAGATCATCCCACAACAGTTGCAGCCGTACAGTGCTGCCAGAAATTCAAGCTGGTTTCAGAAGTGTGTGTGACGCAAGGGTTATCACTGATGAAACTAGCTGACTCTTGTCTGAAAGCAAGACAAAACTAAAAGATATTCACTGTCTTATTGAGTATAAAAAGGCATTCGATGTGTGTATCATTATAAACTATGGATAGCATTGTGAAGAATGGGAATTCCAAAACACTTCATTGTGCTCACGTGGATCCTGTACATAGGCCAAGAGGCAGTTGTTGGAACAGAACGAGAGAAGACTGGGTAGTTGAAAATAAGAAAGTTCTTTTTCCTTATTTTTTCAGTGTTGCATCTTATTATAGTTATACAATCTGTATGCTGAGCAAATAATCCAAGAAACGGTACTGTTTGACGAACGTGGCATCAGAATTGGAGAAAGGTTAATTACCAAAGTACAATACACACATGACATATATTGCTTGCAGAAAACAAGGATTTGAAACACTCGCTGATGAAGGCCAATGACTGCACCATTCAATGTGGCTTATAATTCAGTGTAAAGTAAACCCAAATCCTCATAACTGGACCAAGAGACATCCTAATAAATGGAGAAATGATTGAAGTTGTCAAGGATTTCATTTTGCTTGGATCTCCAATCACTGCTCATGGAAACGGCAGTGAAGAAATCCAATTAATTGCATTAGGCAAATTTGCTGCACAAGGCCTCTTTAAAGTGCCGAAAAGCAATGTCACTTTGAAGACTTAAGGTGCACCTTATCCTCAATTGCTTCTTATGCATGCCAAAATTGGACAATGCATAAGGAAGACAGAGAATTCCACCAGAGCTAGATCTTGTGTCTGTTCCTCGATCACCCATCTCCTGCTAATCCCAGGAGGCAGACGTCAGTGGAACAGAGTGTAGATCCACTTGGCCAACTGTGGATTCATTACCTCTGCAGTCACCCACCTGTGCCTGTCACTGTCTGCTTCATCATCCCGTTTCCTGTCCGTCAGCTTCCACAAGTTGGGAGGAGCTCGACTTGACCAGCTGGACATACTTTTTTCCACAAATAGGCTTCCAGTGTAAGCCATTTCTTGATACGCGCACGCACGCACACGTGTCACTGGTTTAGCTTCTCTAGAGAACCTAACACAAGTGAGAAGTGTTTTGAGTCCCCATCTTACTAAAAGCCATGAACCAGGTTGTCATCCTTTGTTTCCTTAAGGCTGCTGAGACCACCACGCTGCCTGGAAGCACAGAGAATTCCCGGGACTGTCAGGGAAGAAGGGCCACCGGAAGCACATTCCAAGATCTCTGTCTGCAGTGGTGGAGGCTGAGACCAGAGGCACCACAAGCTGTAGCACAGAGACCAGGGCACAGAGCAAGGGAGCCAGGTCAAGACCAGGAGTCAAGACATGGAAACCGTGAGGCAGAACAGAGGAGCAGCACTGAGGCTATGGGACCACGGTACAGAGCGACAGGCAGGCTTCCTGGCCCATGGAGGTAAAGACCAAGGGGCCACACGGCTGACAGGTTAAGGACCAAAGGGAGGCTTGGCTACCAGCTGGGAAAAGGCACTGCTATGAACCAATGACTGTATCCATACTGTTTACAAATCCTGACTTGTGGTGAACTGTTCACTACCCTAATAAACCCTCATAATTGTGTGTTGTGGAAGCCTGTAGTCTGACCTGTGATTTGGATTCATCAGCCCCTTAAGCCACAAGAGTCAGGAGAATCCTCCAGACAGGTAAATGCCTGACTCATGGATTTGGGACCTGCCAGCCTCCACACCCAAGTGTGCCATGTGCTTGATGGTTCCTGGGTTCTGTGAGACACTGCAATCAATTAAAGCACCCAACGAGGTCAGAGAGCTGAACTGAGGACAGGAAAGACACTGATGGTAAAGGGATGGGGTGCTACCACACCTCGGGAAAGCTGGCCCTTTGGGACATCTGTAACCGCCCTCTCAGGGACCAGGCACGCACTCACCCTTCTAAAGGAAAAGAGTCCTGCAGCAGGCCTCCGCCAGAGGGTCCAGCCAGGGGTGGAAGTGCTTTCAGTTCTGATTAGTGAGTAAAAAAGTAGTCATTTCCAAAAGTTCATCCTGCGACAATGACAACAACTTACAAGCCTTCTTCCTTCACAATAATCTTTTATTCAAATAAAATTCTACTGAAACACAGTGCTCATGATCGCTACATATTTCCGCCCGCACAAGCTGGCGCGAACCACGGGCCGCCTTTCCCCTAGTGATGGTGCTGCTTGAACTGGAGTCCACAATAGCCACAGGTCCCCGTTTTGGTTTCTTTGTCCTGGAGAAAAGGCAAAAGGAAAGGCCTCATTTCCACACTCGACTTCGAATCCCCAAACACTTAAGACATTAGATGTCGAAAAGTACATGCAAACTTTGCAATACAGTGAAAAAGTATTGTTGTAATCTCATAGAAACCCTTATTAATCACAACTAACACAATGTGAACCTCGTGTTTCTTGACCCTCCATCGTGGTCTAGACCTTTCTGAGGGCGGTGCTATGATCTGTAACCTTCCCCAGAGCAGTCTCTGGTCTTCGGTCAACTCCAGCCCCTATAGCAGTTTGGACATCCTCCCGGGTTCAAATCCTGGCTGAGTTCTGGGAAGCAAACAAAGTCTAAAGGGGCATGGTCAAGGCTGTAGGGTGGGTGGAAAAGCTTTCCCAAAGAAATGCTCCTAGGACAGCCCTGCTACCCTCACCTCAAAGAATGAGCAGGTGCATGCTGGGAAAAACTTCCATAGTACATCTCTCCTCCTCTCTTTCTCCCTAAGGCAGTTTCGATTTTCTTAAAAGTTCTGATAAGCCTTCACAATAACCCTGTGTCCTTTCAGCAAACGTCTCAAGATGACCTCTTTGAGATCCCTTCAAAAAACACTCACCATAGCCTTCTGAGCTGAACCCTCTGCCCTGAAGTGAACTGGCCCGGCACGTGCCCCTGGAAGTCACTGTTGGGACTGGGCCGATTTGGGGAATTGGAATGCATCCCTAAGGAGGGGAGGGCAGGTACTACTGAGAGCACTGGTCAGCAGCCATGCACTGAAGGCAGAGACGTGTTTAAAGAGTTTGTCAGGAACGGATCCGGGCATGCAGGAACTGGGACCCTCGCAGCATCCCTCGGTGGCTCACCCGGGCATATGCCAAGAGAGCGGCTCATCACAGGCTCAGTGATTGTGTCCACTCCCGTGTCCCCGCTCCTTGTGCGTGAGTGGGCAGGGACGAGCTCAGACTCGGCTCTGCAATGCCTGTCCAGAGCGATGGTGAGGGAGAGCCTCCCATGGAAGATGCGGGCAGCAGGGGCCACCGCGGGCCCTCCTCTGGGCTGGGCCACAGCAGACACGGTTCATTCATGTGCCTTTCTCCTGACCAGCACCCAAGCGAACAGTGGAACCTGGGCTGAGGACAAGGGCCACCAGCTGCCTTGGGGCCACCCTCTGCGAGGCCCTCCTTCACTCCTGAGGCGCTGCACGCACGCCTGGACTCTCCCTGGGCCTCCCTCGGGTGGCCTGTGCATGGGCAAGGGGCTCCTAAAGGTGTCTTTTCACTGTACTTTCCCACATAGCTTTGCGGGCCCTCCTGTTGCACTTGTCAGTGGACACAGGTCACAATGGACCACGGAATGAAGGCTAGGAGAGGGGTCCTGAGGTGCCCCGCCCCATGTCCACCCTGTCACCACATGAACAGGAGAGTGGCTGGCAGGAGGCATCGATAGGGAAGGAAAGGAGGACTGCAGGTGGGGCTGGGGGCTTGGCGGGGGGTCAGCCCGTGCCCCAGCAGAGCAGCTAATGTGGTCCCCGTACCAGGTTTATGTACACTCGGGGGTGGCCCAGGGCGCCTCCGCCGCCATCACAGGAGATCACTCGGCTCTCCACCTCGCTCACAGGCTGCTCGGCGACCAGGTCAATGGCGAAGTTCTCATTCACCTGGACAGGAAGGACAGGACTGAGATGCTGACAGGCCACTTCCGAGCCAGGGCCTCTCTGAGCACCAGAGTCAGCACGCCCACTCCAGCCCTCACATCATCCCTATCACCTGTTCAAACACCTGGTTGCACCGCCACCCCCCACACACCCGGAACTGTTCATTCGGTTACGGCAGTTCCAGCGAGGAGAAATGCTGCAGGAATTCGGAGAACAGTGCCATGGGCTGGGCCCAACTGCCCGCCGGTCCCTGGCCCTGCTGAGTGCTGTCTGCCCGCCTGCTCTGGCCTCATCTCCAATCCACACCCCCCTCACACCGATTTGTCCACACACACCCCTTCTTCTCCCTGGCCATTCACGAGCCACCTGCATACATCAAGGCTTCCTACTTTTCAGTACGAGGGGCTCACAGGAAAATGGAATTAAAAGTTGGAACTTTTCCACGAAAAGCTTGACGCTCCCTGCCCTTCAGTGCTTTTCACATGGGCACTACCTGGCACACCTGTGCAGCTGTCCCCTTCAGGGGATGCAGTAAGACTGACACAGAACTCTGACGTCGTGGGTGAATTGTGCGGCCACCCATTATGTGCCCTGCAGTGGCCTGGCCTGGTATCTATGGTGTGGCCCTGTCCAGGTGCCCGGTACCTGTGGGTGTGATCGTCTCCCTGTGCCCAGTACCCTGTTTGGAAACAGGGGTTTTCTTTGGCTGACTGAAGTCCCATGAGTCAGCTGTGGCTAACCCTAAGCATTTCTGAGTGATAAAGAGCCCAGAATCTGTAACAGAGAGATGTGCTCAGTGGACGAAGCATGCCGAGCCACAGAAGGAACACTGGGGTCCCTAACAGCCACCAAGGCCAGGCTATGCTCAGGAACCCACTCGGTGGACCGTGGGTGGGGCCTGCAGCCTCCAGAGCTGAGGAAGACGTTCTTCCCCGCCTGTGGGATTTCTGTCCCAGGAGTGCTAGAAACAGAGACATCAATTCCCAGCGTCCTCGACGTCCCTCCTCCCCTCGCTGGGTGTGCCCACCCTTCTCCAAAGAGCTGGGCCAGAGGTTGCACACGCCCTTTCCAGGAGGCCTGGCTGCTGGCACATCCCCTCACAGGTCATGTGGCTTCAAACTCTGCAAGGCACCTGGCCCTGCCCCCCTTCCTCCTTGTCTGGTGGTCACTGATGATGTCTGCTGGGACATCAGGGAAATGCTGTCCACCAGCTCCTGCCACTGATGCACTGGCAGGCCCTGGACACGAACGACACATCTGGATTCTGAGTCAAACAGGCGGTGTAAGTTTTACACAGACAATGAAGAAAAGTGACCACTGGTTATGAATCCTCACAAGACACACAAGCAGCAGGAGGACAAACGGAGAAAAGACTGACGTCCTGGATTTCAGTTTGCGTGGCTCCACAACCACTGCCCCGGAAGCGGCCCCCAGGAACTCAAAGGAGGCACTGTGTCTGCTGCTCAAGGCTGCTCTGAAGTGCTCAGGAGCAAGATGTCACTCTGAAGACTAAGGGTGCCTGAGCCAAGCCCTGGCGTCTGGACCTACTCGTGGGGATGCGAACGTTGGACAACGGACAGAGGAGACCGCAAGACGGACGCCTTTGCTGATGCTGGTGAGGAACACTGAGGCTACCAGGAGCTGCAGGGGAACAGAGAGCTGTGTGCTAGAAGCGCATCCAGCGTGCTCCTTAGAAGCAAGGATCCAGACTTCATCTCCCACACGTTGGCCGTGTCAGGAGAGACCAGTCCCTAGAGAAGGACCTCATGTTTGGTAAAGTGGGGGCCGTAGAAGAGGAAGGCCCTCGACAAGATGGGCTCACCCGGAGGCTGCAACGCCAGCATGAGAACCGTGCGGCGGGTGCAGGGCCGGGCAGGCAGTGCTTCATTCTGCCGCACCGGCGCCGTGCTGAGGGGAACTGGCCCACAACGGTTCATTCTAACTTGGCAGACAGGAGTCATAATCAACTAGATGGCAGTGGGGAGACACTGCATTTAAAGGTAGTGGTAGGGTGTAGGCTTGCCCATCTCTTGTAGATTTAGGGTATCCAAGAATTAGTGGAGGGCTGGGTGTGTGGCTGAGCTACAACAGGTCCAATCTCAGGACAAAGCTCTCGGCTGACAGTTATTGACACTCATGCTTGGACGCATGGCAGAGGGCCATCACACTCCTCCTTCAAAGAGCAATCAAGCATCCTGGTCTGGTGGAGGTTTCTCTTGTGATGCCCTCTGCAGGCCCATCTGGGGAACTGGCCACAAGATGAGCCTTGTTCCCCTTCTGTGGGAAACAGAAAGATTTCTCCCAAGTCGTCTCCCCCAAATATGTTAGACTTAGGACACTGCTTTCAGCTAATGGTAAAAGTTATTTCCCTTAAGACAGTCAGCTACCAGACTGCTATCTTGTCCCACCTCGGGATGGGCCTGCTCCCTGGTGCTGGGGACAATGGACTACTTCTCCCTGAGACTTGCGACCATTAGCTTGGTTGGGGGGGGTGGGGGGGTGTTACACCCTACTGATAATGGTTCTTATGGAGATCCAGAGAATAGCTCAAACGCCCTCCCATGACATCCAAAGTTAAGCTGCCATTCTGAATCTAGGATCTGCCCATCTTGTCACATGCATACCCCCAATCCCTCCCCTTCCTATTGCGTGTATGCCCCTAGACCCCCTCTTCCCATTACTGTATAACCTATAGTGCAACCCCTTCCTGCGACGTATGTCTTTACTTGTAATTAGTGGGCTTGCACGCCCCCCAAAGGTATACAGGCCTGAGTTAGCAATAGAGAGAGCTCCTTCTCTCGGCTCCTCCCTTGGCCTCTGGTTGGTTCCCTGTCCTCTCCCTTCCTCGCTCCAGTTCTCTTTCCCCATGTCCTCCTTCCCTTCCCCCTCTCCCCACGTGGAACACCAAGCAGGGCTGAGGTGAGCATTGCTACCATGTAATGTGTCTGACTCCATTGTTTTAATATCTCTTTTATCTCTCATGCTCTCAATGACTTTAATATTTATATATCTCAACCGTACAACTGTGCTTACGGAACCCGTGATTAGTGGTGGGGCCTGGCAATCCCCCTACAACCACTCCCTTCGGCTTGGCAAGGAGCTGGCCACCAAGTGGGCCTACCAGCTGCCTGGGCGACCAACATGCACACCAGGGTGACAGTCTGAAGGAGGGAGCCTCGGCTTCTGTGTCAAACAATGGAGCTGGACTGACCCCCAACGTGTCCTCCCAGGAGTGTGGCTGCTGCTCCAGTCGGGGAGCAGAGCTTCTTTTTCCTTCCGGAAACTATCTGGCCATGCTCCGGGCATTCGCAGCAAAGGTCTCCGTGGCCAGCTGGGCACCCAGGACGTCTCCTGGAGTCCTCTGAAACGCAGCGTGTCGCCAGCATCTCGGACCCAGCTGGCGTGGAAAAGCAGAGCAGGACCACATCCCGAAAACCACTGGTCCCTGGTGGCCGGGCATGGAAGCAGCTGTGCTGCCCTAACACCGCCCAGCACCCGCCCTCACAGAAGCCCTGAGAGGGACCACAAGCTTACAGCAACATGGCAGTGTGCGCAGATGGGCTGCCAGCCACGGCCCTCCGCCCCACCCTGCCAGGTGCCCCAGCTAGTGGCATTGCCTCCACTGCCTGCTCGTCCCTGCTGGCAGCTGTGGGCATGGCCTGTGGGGACCCCTCCGTGCAGCCTCGTGCAGCAGGGAGGAAAAGACCCACAGGCACGGGCACGGCCTCACCCTGAACTTGAGGAAAACCTTGACAATAACTAGAAAAGCGCTGTTGACTTCAGCGCCTGTTGTTCTGAAGCCAGCCTGCTCTCTGACGTGACCTGGTCACCTCAGCCTCCACATGCTGTCGCTGAAGACAGAAGCCTCTGAATACCCCGAACCCACACTCAGACCTGTGCCCACGCCCCTCCCCACAGCCAGACCAGGAGCCCCTGTGGAAGGCGCAATCCCCTATGGAAAGCCCTCAGACAGAGACTCCGGTTTGGCTAAGCTTCTCCGCAGGGAGTCTTGGAAGGATGGGCGCCCGCCCCCAGGGAGCGCCCGTCACGTCACTGGCAGGCTGTCGTATGGGCTCCTCCAACCGCCTGGCTGACAGCTGGCCTGGCCGCCTGGCCCGCAGATGCAGCCCTTACCATACAAATGCCCCTGATGGTTTCAATCACAGGACGGCTACAGTGACACGTGTGTCACCGAGGCCACTGGACAAGCCACAGGCCTGCACGCAGGCAGTGACAAAGTGACACGAGTGACTAGCATGGGGGAGGCCCCTGTAACGGCGGCCGTGACCAGCCATCACTGACATCTGGTAGCCAGGGAAACCAAAAGCCAGGCCGTGGGGAGCCCCCCTCCCACCCCCACCCTCACCCCCACCCCCATCAGCACACACTTGGGAGGGCACCCAAGTCTCTTCAAGCCACCAGTCCCCCACGCTCCCACCCCTGATGGGGGCAGGGAAGCCTGGGTAGGGAGGGGGGTTTCAGGGGAGGACATGGTTGGAGAACAGCCAGGAGGGCTGACCATGAGCCAGAAATGGCCAGAAATGGGATGTCTCCAGCCACCGGATGCACAGCCTGACCCTCGTGTGTCACCACTGTAAGAGACAAGGCCCACTTGAACGGACCACCTTTCCTGCGGTCTGTGCACTCGGCTTCCTAAGGGGACTTCCCATCTTTCCTGGCCCCTAGGGAACCCACCAGGGATGAGCAGGGGATGGGGGATCCCAGGTAATCACGGCAGTGCCAGTGCTTAACGGACACCGTGAGCCAGCAAACAGTGCGGGTCCTCCCACACAGACCTCGGTCACCAGAGCAAGGTCAGCGAAAGCCTGAGGCCACCTCTTCAGCGTCCCACACGGGCTTGGTCCCCAGCCAATCAGGCTTGTTAGCCAGGGCAGCATGGGGGGCGGGCGGGCGCCCTCACCTCACAGCATGGACGCTGAGCTGCTCTTCTGCAGGAACTCAGAACCCCACGTGGGTCATGGACACGCACAGTCCGGGCTGCCCCAGGCGAAGGGTGGAGTGCAGGGGGCAGTCCCAGGATTCATCCCGAATGTGCCGGAGGGCGGAGCTGCCCCCATACAGCACACGCCCCCGACTGAACCGGATCCCAATAGCCAAAGGGTTTCAGAATTCTCTTCAACAGCCACCCTCCTCCGGGTTCCGGAGGGTCAGTCACCCCCCCTCTTCTCTGTGCACCTCCAGGACAGCTTAGGACACAGTGAAGGCACTGCTAGGCACCACAGAGCAATCCATGTGGAGAACTGGACCCCGGGATGATCTATTCACTAAGACCTTGACAAGAATAAGTGAAGGATGGTGGGAAGGCTCGTGGCTCGAGGCGGCCTCGGAGAACAAGCAGAAACCAGGAAAGCTGGACAAACCCCTGAACGGAGAGGGAAAGAGAGGCCAGCAGGCAGGTGGGGCTCAGGAAAGGAGCTCAGCCAGAAACGGGCGTGTTTAGGCAGAAGGATCCCAGTTCTAGAATGCTCTGTCTGGTGGTGACAGCTGGGCAAGGGTGGACTAACTGCCGTCCAACAGGTGGATCCACTCTGGCAAGAAGCCTGCTGAGCACAAGGTCAGCAGTTCAAAACCACCAGCTGCATCTCGGGGAAAAAAGGCGGCTTTCTAGTCCTGTAGAGTCACAGTCTGGGTATGCCTCAGGGACGCTGTCCCCTGTCACACAAGGTCACTGTGAGTTGGCATCGACTGACAGCAGGGAGCGAGGGCGAGTGCAGGGCAGCAACGGAGAGAAGACGGAAGTCGTCTAGGATCTCGTCTTTCATGGATGAACAACCAGTGTTCAAGGAAACGGAAGCCACGAGATCAAACCACGCACTGTGCGGGGTGAGCCTGCTGCACAAGGCCTCGCTGGAGTACTGAAAAGCAGGGCTGTCACTTTGAGGACTAAGGTGCTCCTGACCCAAGCGCCTTGGTATTTTTGATCACCTCATAGGCATACGAGAGTTGGACAGTGAGTAAGGCAGGCCGAAAGAGAAGGGATGTATGAGGACTCCTGATAATACCACGGACTAGTGCCATGGTAAAGGAGAAGGCCTTCAACAAGATGGACAGACACAGGACAGGGGCTGCAGCCACGGGCGCAAACATAAGGACGACTGTGGAGACGGCGCAGGATGGGGGGTGCTTCCTTCTGCTGTGCTCGGGGTCTCTGTGAGTCAGAACCCTCTTCTCGGGGGCACCTCACAAGAGAGCTAACTCCCATGACGCCGACAGTCATTTTTTTAAGAAACAGAGCAATTTTTGAAAAAACCAAAAACCCTTTTAAGGTCTTGGAGGAACCGAGCACAGAACTGAAAGATCCTGCCCCTACATAGGGAGCAGAACCACGCTGGTAACAACCCATGCTGCGGATTTCAAAGCAAAGCAAACCAGACAACAACAAACCCCAACATCCCACAGACAGAGTCAGCAGACATTCTGAAGAAGCAGGCCACTCTGGAATTTCTATGGTTCTCAAATGTTAGGAAGAGCTATTTATATGCAGGTCTATGACGAAAGCAAGCCTCTCTGACCACTCACCTCTTTCTGACGACTGACGAACCGTATCTGCCTATAATCTCTCTCATCGTAAACCTGCGGGAGGAAGAAAGGCCTGTGTTAGTGCTACAGCCATGTACTAGCCATTGGACAGATACAGAGCCACGTCTTCCTCCGCATCTAGACCATTGGTGGTCAGTCACCCGCGAGTCAGGCCCGACGTGCTCTTAGCTCACCAGGGAAAAGGCAAACAGAGTACAACTCTTTGGTCCAGAGAGAAAAATCTGGGAGGTGGGGGTGGGGAGTGGCCACTGGGAAATGGTTTCTGGGGCCAGGGAGGGGCACAAGAGGGCCACCCCACAAGAGGGCCACCCAACCTTCTCTTACATTCCATCAGAGAGCTTTAGTTCCTCTCTAGATCTATTAGCCAAGTGGGTCACCAACAGCAGTAGAATCACCAATGGCAGTAGTCATCCGTGCAGGTGAGATTAGTGAGTGTTTGTTTAGCACATAAATAGCACTCCCATGAATCCAGACAAGGAACAAGCCCAAACACCCAGAAGAAACCCATAGTCTGTCAAAGGCAATCAAATAGCTGCTGTGAGAGGCAGGCCAGGATCCGAATGAGATTCAGAAGCACACTGAGAGGGAATGGAACTGGGGTGGGAGGGCAGAGCAAAAGAGAAAACACTCTTTGGAAAGCCCAGATTAGGAGGGCAAGATTATAGAACATGCCTGATACAGAAACCAGACGGGGCTTTCGGCAAGGGAACCCCGGTGCAGTAACGGGTTACCTGTGGGGCTGTTAGTTACTGTAGTTACTCCTTAGGAGAAAGATGAGGCTGTCTGTTCCCCTAAAGACTTGCAGCCTCAGAGACTCCAGGGAGAGGCTCGACTCGGCCCTCATGGGTTGCCACTAGAATCACCTCAGCGGAGGGTTTTGTTTGCTCTACGGGGCGACACAAGCAGTACAGCTACCTTACTGATGCATCCTGTGGTGTAGTTAGGGTTGAACACTGCTTTCTGGGTTCTAGACAACAGGGCTTACGTCATTAGAATGTAGTACTCGATACCGCACAAGCATTAAAATACTGGATCTAAAAATGAACTTGGCAGATGCATACGGGACATAGTAATGTCACGCCCACAGGATACACCCCATAACCCGCTGCTGAGTCGATTCCATCTCAGTGACCCTATCGGACAGGGCACAACTGCCTGCTCAGGCTGCCAAGGCCGTGTTGCACCGACGGCTGCCGGCCGGAGCACAGCCAGCGGTGTTCTTTAGAAGCACGAAGAGCAAGACTTCAGAGCACAGACTTGGGACCGGTCCCTGGAACAAGACTTGCATGGTAGAGGGTCAGAGGCTGAGAGGAAGGCATGGGTTAGCAGAGGCTGCCACAAGGGGCTCGAACACAACAGGATGAGGCACTGTTTCATTCTGCTGCACCGAGGGGAAGGATGAGCAGGGACCTAGTGCGGGGCACCTAACAACAACTCTTTACAGAGAACTAGCAAACTCCACCACCCGCCTTCCGTGGGTTCACACTGCGCACCCTGGGGTGAACTGCAGTGCTTAACCCCCGGTGCCACCGGTCTCCTTTTATCCACAGGATAACACGCTTTCCATGGCGCCTGGGGAAGCAGTGTGTTACATGTTGGGCTGTTAACTTCAGGGGCAGCAGTTGGAACCCACCACCTGATCTGAGAGAGAAAGTTGAGGCTGCCTCCTCTGGTACAGATTTGTTGTTGCTACGTGCCAAGGAGTCGGGTCCTACCCATAGCAATGGCCCTGTGCCCAACGGAACACTGCCCGGTGGGGCTGTGCCACCCTAACAAGGGTCCCTACGCTTGAGCCCATTGTTGCAGCCACTGTGCCCATCCATCTCGTCCGAGGGCCTTCCTCTTTCGCACTGCCCCTACACTTCACCACACGTGAGGTCCTTCTCCAGGGGCTGGTCTCCCCTGACAAGTCAGACACCCATGGAGGCTGTTCAACCCTGCCCTGCGGGCGGATGAGATTGGGGGGAACTATTCAAGAGCAACGAATAACGCAGGCTTGCAGTTAAAAGACTCGACAGGCCCCTTGATGATGCGAACTCAATTGAAAAAATGCCACTAGCAACATCCCGGCACGGGAACACTGACTGTATGGCCAGGGCCGTGCAGTGTTTCCTGCGGTTGTGCACGGGGTCGAGCTGGGTCCCAGCGACTCCGTGACAACATCCCGGCAGACACGAGCGGGGAGCCGTTCACTCTGTGCCAAAGGCTGGGTATTCGCGTGCGTGTGCACGTGGGTGTGGGCTAACCAGGCTGGACAGCTCAGTTACCGTCCGAACGGGGCGCCTCCATTCCCTGGAGGTCAGCTTTGGGACCAGACACCGGACCCGGGTCGCGGGGGCGCATTCCCGCCGAGCCAGGGGCAGGAGGAAGGGCGGGGGGCGGGAGGATGGCCCGGG